TTCAACCCCCAAATCGTTGATACGAAAACAGCCCCTATAATGGGTGTTTTCCGGCTAACTCGATTCCTAGTTTTTCCAAAGTTGCTCTAGGTTAGTATCCAACCTTTACATCAATAAAATAACTTTACAAGGACATATTATACACTTGGAGTAGTGTATAATAGTTCCACAAGTCGATCATATCAATAGGGAAATGGAAGGAACGGTTTTGGGGTCAAAACTCACTTAGAAGAGTAAATCCGTTTCTGCGAGGTCGTGTTTTGCTCTGACGATTTGGAAGCCTTCCTCTACTCAGATTGAAGCAAACTAGGCCTTCACGGATTACTCGTCTTGAGATCTTTCTTTTGGTATATTATACGCTTTATTTGGATGTGTATAACTCGAGATATGAAGCAAACAAGTAACCCTTGCACTGGAGATAAAACCTGCGGGCAGTTTGCTTTCTCCTTGCTCTTTTAGGTTGGGTGGCTCTCTTCTTCTCTCTTATCTTGGGGAGTTCGAATGGGGGCTGTGGAAGTGTTATCTTGGCCTTAACTTATCCTCAAAAGTCAAAGGATAGGAGTGGGTTGACATGTGGGATGATGGAGCAAGATACCTTCAATAAAAAAAAATGGGGAGAGGGCCCATTCGGTTCACAAACATGTCTTGTTCAGCCCCCCTCTCTTTTTGTCCGCCCCAACCAAGGATTTTAACCCATTCTCTTTATTTTGAAGGTGCCAAGAAGGTGTGGGGTGCTCCCCAAGTGATCCCAATCAATTTGGGGTCCAAAACATCTACCAATACTTCCAAAAATGGGAAGATGGGTCCTATTGTTTTATCTTTTGTCAAAAGATGTCTTTTTGTACTCATCCTAATTTATTTAGAACAAGTCAACTTCCTACATCACATTATTGATCTCCAATATGTGTAGGCTCATCTCAATAATTTACTTGATGGATATTATAGAAGGAAAAAGTCCTACTCCCATTATTTAGCTCAATAATGTCAAAGATGGGGCTATAAGTATTTGTATTCTTCTCCAATCATTCTATCACTTATTTGACATTTGTCATACATATTATTGGGCTACTAGCCGTGTGGGTCACTCCCGAGTGGGTCTAGGATGCCATTCTTGAATACTTGCTATTTTTAGCAGGTTGGGCCCAAAATAATATTTGGGTCGCCCGCCCTTCCTCAACTTGTCTTGAAACGTTATGTATCACTATTTAGATAATGTTAGGCTCTTTTGTTTATTAATAAGGCCCAAACGAGTATTCGCAAGCCCGACACTAATATACGAGTTCGAACAGTATAATAATCGATCATTAATTACGTAAAACATAAATCGTTTACAATTGTTTGGGAATCAGAAATTCAATACATAAACTTTGATTTTTTTTAAAATTGAATTTTCAAGGACGTTCGGGTGCGGTGTCACGTGTCGGCTTCTGTTGGAGACAAATAAATTATATTAAAATTTGCATTAATAATTAGAAAGGGTAAAAAGATTTTTTTTTACTTATTTAACTTTTTAAGATAGTTTGTAGAATTAAAGAATATAAAATATATAATTATAGAATATGAAAAAACTTATATGAATTTCAAAATCAAAATTTCATAACATGTGAGATATTTAAATATATAAAGTAGAGTAAAAAAGTCAATATAAAAACCTTAAAGGAAAAATGAAATTCAATTTAAGTACAAATTCAAATTAAAAAATTGAGAACCCTAGATTTTCAAAATTAAGAAAGTGAAAAAGATAAAAAAACACTAATAGTTATTTTCAAAAAATAAAAAAATAAAAGCTAATCATCCTAAAATATTAAATCACTTTAAAAGTTAAAAATAAAAAAAATTGTGAATTTGTAAAAGAATCCAAAAATGATTATTTATCAAAGATTGAATTTGTTTTTTTTTTGTATGAAAATAAGAATAAAAATAAAATGTAGCATTTTTTATTTCCAAAATGCTATACGTTTTTTGTATTTAGTTATACTTTCATTTATAAAATTCAAAATTTGAAAGTCAAATAAACTTTTCTAGTTTTTGAAAAAAATGAGTTTATGGTTCGGATTATTAAAAGAAGAATGACAGATTATTTATAGAATATACTTAGTTTTTATTTGAAACTTTCTTGTTAAGTTCTTTTCTTTTGGACTGAAATTTGCTGGTCTAGTCTAATCTAATCTGTTTAAATTTGGTTTGGTCTGGTTTGGTTTGGTTTGGTTTGGTCTGTTTAAGTCTGGTCTAGTCTGATTTGGTTTGGTCTCGAACTGAAAACAGTCCAAAAGAAAACATCCTTGAAGCAGGTAATATCCGACTATGGACCATTTTTGACGGACGGTCCATATAGTTGAGACTAGCGTTTGGTCGCGCAAGGCGCGATATCATATGCCCAATGCTAAAGTAAATTTTCCTCCAATAAATAACTACTTTACTAATGTAAGAGTGGTCATATTTTTTGTGAGATTTTAATGAGCAAACCATTGTAGCAGGAGTAGATTTTTGAAAGTGAATTATTATATATATACTACCCCCATCTCGAAAAAGTTTGTCGTATTAACTTTTTTTTTTGTGAATGATATGATGACAAACTTTGGATAACAATTTATATTATTATATTTGTATATAATTTATAAATTTTATACTTCTATGAAAATATTTCAAATAAGGAACATTTTAATATAATTTTCATATTCAAAATATCATTAGTTAAAGTTGATTGTCATTTACCAAGAAAAGTCAAATTAGCAAACTTTTCTGGGACGGAGTATGTGTTATTGCCGCCTTCATATACATGGATATTGAGACGGTGTTGTGATGCAAGTCTAAGTGTTTGTTGAATTACACGGGTTCGAGAAACTAAATATAAAAATATCCTAGAAAAGAATACTCTATTATTATAAGATTAAACAAATTTTGGTGATATATGGCTCAATAATAGGTGCAACTTAATTTGAAAATCAATTTCTTTATTGATTCAAAAGCATGAGGGACTAAATAAAGTGCTTATAAGAACACTGATGACATAAGATTAATTATACTTCGAAAATAATGTTATGAAATATAAGCATATAAAACATAATGCACTATAATTAGTCAGTACCCGAATTATAAAAGCAAACACCTAAAGGTGTAGAAAAATAAGAATTGTGATCAACTAAGTTAGAATGAGCACATAATTATATAGTGGAAAATTGGACAATTATAATTTACTAAAAATGTGACACTTTGCTCAAAAAATAAAAAAGATGTCATTCTTTAGAAACACCATACATATGTGTGTTTAAAAGGGAGTATTGTTTTACCCTTAGTCGACATTTCAAATACATTGAGATAATTGATTTTGGAATTTGAGAATTGAACTACCTAAATCACTACAAGACTCAAAAAGTATTTAAAGGACATTGAAAGGAATAAGTAAGACTCAAAAAGTATTTAAATGACATTGGAAGAAATAGATATTAATTACTCAATAAATTTTACCTCTCAAGAATGGTTGCATACAAATTAGATCCTCTTAAGTTTAATCTTCTTCTTAATGGAGTAGAGGCATTTAAGTGGTAACGGTTCTAGCTTCTTAAAATTATAAACGGAGTAAGGGCATTAAAAGTTAAAACCCATGGAAAAATAAGTACAATAATTTAACAAAAATGTACAACATCTTATGCTTTTAAGAGATGACATAATTCCGGTTATCTTCCCGAAAGGTAATTAATCAACGTGTACTATATGAAACATTCCCTAATTACTGTTTTTATTGCAAAGAGTATGGGCATCACCCATTTATCTGTGAGAAGCTTGCTAAAAAAGAATCGAGTAAAACTGTTGTGAAAGAGTTGGAGAGTACACTTAAACCGCAGGTTTGCCAATTCGAGTCCTCTGTTTCTCCCCTGGCAGTGGCAGAGGTTCACCTTGAACCTGCCCAAATGACTACACATGGCTGTCCAAGGGATGCTGGAAAGGTTACAGTGGTAGAATGTATTGAGCTAGAGCCTCAAATTAAGGAGAAGGTGGAAACAAAGCCGAATGAGTCCGCTGCTCAACCGGGGGTCACTATAGCTACGCCAGTAATGGGGGTGCCAAAGCCTGGTACCATGGAGGATGAACCCCAAGATATGCTAGTGGATAACCTGGTAACACCAATAACGGAAAAGGAATCTGATTTAGTGACAGAAAGTGTGGAGATATCTACTAAAGTGAGGACTGCGCATGAGGAATTTATTGCAAAGGCTGATAAGGCACTTCGTATTGCAATGGAAAAACCAAGGACAGAACATGCTAAAAAGGGCCCGGGCAGAAAATTGAAAAATCAAAGGAAATTGCGAATTTGTTTTTAATTATTTAGTTAATTAAGGATTTGTGATGTGGGGGCTGTCCCATTAGCCGATGTGTGATTTGTAATGTGGGGACCGTCCCGTTGATGCATTATATCTAGGTTAGCTCATTCTAGCTTAGATAGCCATTTTGATTTGGATTGATGCATTGTAAAATGCTATTTTTCGGTTCTAATATACTTACATATTATCGAAAAAAGAGATGACATAATTCAAGGGTACTAATCACATTCAATTAACATAAATAATACGGAGTATATAATTAAAATTATTGTTAGCGGATCAATGATAGTTTTTTATAATCGTAAAACAGACGACTTTATAATAAATTCGAGAACGCATGCAAAACAATTTTTGCAGATACAATTAAATTTTTGCAGATACAATTAAAATTATTGTTAGGGAACCAATTGATCCAATAAAATGAGCTCCCGCGAGTATACTGACGATTCATTAACCGTTAACGTTCGGCCGACTCGTACGGTCGGTGTCCTGAGGAAAGAGCTCCCGCGACTTGTAGAATGCTCTAGAACCGTGTCTCGCTGTTCACCCGAGAGGTTTCTAGACTCTTCAGCCGAATCCAGCATCAAAGAGTGCAATCCTCAACATCGAATCCCAGCCGTCCATGCGCGCTATAAAATCACCAATCATCATAATCTTGCATTCCAGGAGTCTCATTTCTGCTAATCTTTGTATTTGAGGAGGAAAAGGAATAAGAAGCTAGAAAATGTTCGGAAGAGGACCAAAGAAGAGTGACAATACAAGGTACTATGACATTCTGGGCGTCTACAAGAACGCAAGTGTGGATGAAATAAAAAAGGCCTATCGTAAAGCCGCCATCAAGAACCACCCTGATAAGGGCGGTGATCCTGAAAAGGTACAACATCAGCTGCTTCTACTTCTTAAGCATTTCCTTTTTCATCCCTTGAATTTCTCAGATGATTTCCTGCGAAACAGTTATAATGTGGAATCAAATTGTAGGTACAGTGTCTCTAGATGTGATGACATCCAACCATTTTTGCTAGAAGATGCTACATTGTGAAACTGGCAAAACACATTTGAAGATTATATGTACTGACACAAATAATTGGAGCAGCAATTTCATCAAGGCTCAATTGCTGATTTTCTCCATTATTTTGAAAAAAGCAGTCAAAATGCCTAATTCAGGAAATTATAATCAAGGCCCAATTGCTGATTTTCTCCATTAATTTGAAAAAAGCTGTTAAAATGCCTAACAAATAGATGCAGAATAGCGTTTACTGTCAAGGCCTCTATAATATAATACATCAAAACTTATGCTTCGAGATGTTGAGATCTTGTACTGAATCTATCTGTATATTCAATGTTGATATACCAATCCAGTTCAAGGAGCTTGCACAAGCTTATGAAGTTCTGGGCAATCCAGAGAAGCGGGAGATATACGATGAGTATGGGGAGGACGCACTCAAGGAAGGAATGGGCGGTGGTGAAGGAATGCAAGACCCATTTGACATCTTCCAGTCCTTCTTTGGTGGGGGAAACCCTTTTGGAGGTAATTCAGAGGCTGATTTGAGTTGAATTGTCTGCCATTCATCTAATTTGAGTTTAACATGATCAACAAAATGGTGAACAGGTGGTGGTAGCGGCAGAGGAAGAAGGCAGAGGAGAGGAGAGGACGTGATTCATCCGATGAAGGTCTCTCTGGAGGATCTCTACAATGGAACTACCAAAAAGCTCTCCCTCTCCCGCAATGTGATTTGCTCAAAGTGCAATGGAAAGGGATCGAAATCAGGAGCTTCAACGAAGTGTGGCGGTTGCGAAGGTTCAGGAATGAAGGTTACAATCCGCCATCTCGGGCCCAGCATGATCCAGCAAATGCAGCAGCCGTGCAACGAATGCAAAGGCACTGGAGAGACCATCAGGAAAGACGACCGCTGCCAGATCTGCAAAGGCGAGAAGGTGGTCCAGGAGAAGAAGGTTCTCGAAGTTCATGTCGAAAAGGGGATGCAGAACGGGCAGAAGATCACCTTCCCCGGAGAAGCAGACGAAGCGCCTGAGATGATTACCGGAGACGTCGTTTTCGTTCTCCAGCAGAAAGAGCATCCGAAGTTCAAGAGGAAAGGCGACGATCTGTTCGTGGATCACACGCTCTCGCTCACCGAAGCTCTGTGCGGATTCACATTCATCCTCACGCACCTGGACGGAAGGCAGCTCCTGATCAAATCCAAGCCTGGAGAAGTAGTCAAACCAGACGAATTCAAAGCGATCAATGACGAAGGAATGCCGGCGTACCAGAGACCGTTCATCAAAGGAAAACTGTACATCCGATTCGTCGTCGACTTCCCCGATTCGCTGAGCCAGGAACAGGTTGAGCTGTTGGAGTCGATCCTCCCGCCGAGGCCGAATCCGCTGCATTCTGAGATGGAGATTGATGAATGTGAAGAAACGACCTTACACAATGTTAACATCGAGGAGGAGATGAGAAGGAAGCGCGAGGAGGCGGCTTACGAGGAGGAGGATGATAACCATGCGCATGGTGGGGCCCAGAGAGTTCAATGTGCTCAACAATAGAGAGGATTTTCGAGAAACTACTTCTTAATACTGTAGATTGTTTTGAGATTTCACTCCATCGCTTGGAAAGGTATCATGAAAGCTAGCAATGAAAAAGCAAAATGATGAGTCCATCCAGGGGCGTAGCTAGGGGGTGGTCACCCCTGGCCCTGGCCCAGCCCAAATTTTAAAAATATCTAAATTTTAAGTCTAAAAAATTCTGTGTAATTTTTTTTCAAAAATATTCTTTGTACCGGCCCAGTCCGGCCAAGTGTCCTGGCTCCGCCCCTGAGTCCATCCCTTTTGTGCATGCTAATCCTTTGATTTTTCGAGACAAATACTACATATAACACTACTATTTTTGTATCTCGACAACCACTTAGAATGCGACGGACGGATCACGGATGGAGTACTTTGTATGTGTAGTTATGAAGGGGATAAACAATGAACAACAAGAAGCCTCCCTTAGTTGCTTTAGTGTGGATCCTACTGTTGAGTACAGAATTCTAGTAACCCTAAAGGCATGCTCACATGCAGTGCTGGATTTGGCCCGGGCCTAGGCCTGGGCGGTCCGCCGGTTCGGAATAGGTGGGCCCGGGTCCGGTCCGGGCTGGGCCTCGGGTCAATTTTTTTCCCAATTATTTTTAACTTTTTCAACCCGAAAAGTTAAAAAAAATTGGGGAAAAAAAAATTAAAAAGCCCGGAACCGGGCTTGAACCGGCCGGGCTAGTTTGGCTTTTGGGTGACTCGAGCCTGCATCGGGAACCCCCCGGGCCGGGCCACCGGGCAGGGCCCGTTCAGCATAATACCGGTCTCGGGTCGGGCCACCTGGCTCGAGTCCAGGACTACATGCTCATAGCCGTTTTAGGGTTGGTTTGCAACTCATTTTAAAAAAGCGCTTCTCAGCTTTTGGCTTTAAAAAAGCACTTATTTTCCCAAACACTTGCAACTATTATTTTTCTTGACTTTCGCGTCAAAAGTGCTTTTACTTTTTCTATTACACAAAAAGCATTTATTTTACCAAACACTACCCACTTTTACTTTTCAAAATCACTTTTTTCTCAAACACTATCAACTTTTATTTAATCACTTCTCCCCATTTCATTAAAAAAAGCACCTTTTTAAAAGCAGAATCTGTTGCAAACAGACCCTTAGTGTGGATCTTACTGTTGAATTTTGATCATTCTTACTATATGTGCCCTTACATTAATTATAATAACTCATTGTTGTTGATCGATATTTATCTATTTAATTACTTGATCGAGCCACTAATGAAAGTAGTTAAGGGGAAAACTAGTAATATTTATGAGATTATTGGAATACATCAAAGAAATTTGTTTAAAAAATATGTTATCAAAGTTCTAGGCATTTCCTCATCTTAAGTATAAGTCTCATTTATAAAAGTCCAGCTCACTCCACCCATTTACACTTCATAGACCCGACTTGTCATATATAGATGAACATTAATTTAGGGTTTCTAAGATGATAACGATTCAAGCTTCTGACCATAATCCTCATGTTGTGGTTTGGTGTTTCATTCTCCACACTTTTAGGGAAAATTGTCAAATAGGTTCTCGAACTTTCTTGAAAGGGTCAAATAAGTCCTTATATTGGAGGCTCTGTTTGGTCGTCGCGATTTGGGGCAGTTCCCGGTGGAATTTTTGATAAAGTTTTTTGAGCATCTTATTCATCAAGTCTAGTTTACTCATACCAAATTTCAGCTAAAACTTCAATCGGGAACACATTCAAATTATTTCTTGAAGATAACTGTGTATTTAATGGCACAGTTATCTTTAAGAATTAATTTGAATGCATTCCCGATTGAAGTTTTAGCTGAAATTTGGTATGAGTAAACTAGATTTGATGAATAAGATGATCAAAAATTTTCATCAAACAATTCCACCGGGAACCGCCCCAAATCGCGACGGGCGGACAGAGCTTCCTACATAAGGACTTATTTGACCTTTTTATGAAAGTTCGAGAAGCTATTTGACAGTTTCCCCCACACTTTTATTATTACATTTTTATCTTAAACGTCTCCATGATATTTTTTTTACAGTCTTTTGAGTTGGTGATGTGTCTCCACATATTTGAGTCAACATCTCTAGTCTCTACATAATAGAGTTAGTGTCTCCACATATTCAAGTCAACGCCTCGTCCAAAATCAATTTTCAAAAAATCGATCTTGCGAGCTTTCAACTTTTTTTCACTTCTTAATCTTTTTAATTCAAAGACGTATAGAAAACGGTTGTTCACATGATATTTGAGTCAACGCCGTGACCTAGCACTTAACCCACACTGCTATTGGCCTAGATCATCCAACCCATTCAACATTTTCGCTACCTATAATTGAATATATTCATCTTTGCTACACATTCTTAGCCTCCCTAACCTTTTGTATTACGATTTTCCTCTCTTCTCTTCGTTCTCTTAGCACCCACAATTTGACTTGTTTCTTCTTCAAGTTTTTAGATATTAGAAGAACGATATGTCGTGAACTCGAGTTCTCTTTTTACATCCTTTTAGTTGTGACCATAGTTTCATGGTAACTCATAGATAAGAACCTCTTTGTCCATGTAGTTAAATTGGATTTTACTATTGTATGGAAGATGATATAGCAAACCTTAATATGACACTCGCTATAGTCATTTGAGATACGACAAATGAGAATTATTTTCATGAAGGTTATATTTTTTTGAATGATTTTTTAATTGAATATAGTTATAAAGATATACAGGTATTTGAGTATTTCTAAATGTTAAATCAGACTACTAATCCATGTCTATATGTTTTCAAGGTTCTTCAATTTGTGTGAAAATGCCTATTTAAGAAGACAACAGTTTACTCCTAGCAGGAAAATTGTAAGAATATAGAATAGAAATTGTGAGAGGTATTGGCCCTATGGACCTTGGCCTCCCTTCCCTTTTGGACTAAGATTTGGGCTCGTCCATTTGGTTCCCGCCCAACACATTTTTTCCTTCCTTGTTTTGCTCCTTTGTGTTTGGATCTTTACCCTGCTTACATACTTACCTTGTTGGGCTCCTCCTCCTCCTCGGCCTCCTCTTCCTCGGCCTCCTCCTCCTCCCTCCTCCTCCCTCCCCCTCCCCCTCCCTCCTCCCCCTCCTCCTCCTCCTCCTTCTTCCGTCTCTCTCTTCACTTCAACAGTGTGTGTGAGTGTGTGTGTGTGTTTGAGTGTGTGTGTTCTATGGGTTTTAGGGAGAGATTTGAGAAGGTAGCAGCTTGGATTTGGGTTTCAGTGCCTTTGTAGTGGTTCCTTTATCCCGATAGGTCTGTGTGGTGGTTGTGAGTTGTTCTAGAACCCTTGAGTTTGAGTGGTTGGAGATATGTGGTGAACAATCTATCATTTTACAGTGGCATCGGAGCTTGGTCCTCACGGTATCTCGCTAGAAAACTCCAACAACAACCCGGCAGCTACTCACCTTTGATGCCGCTACCTCCATCCTCTTTCGTGCATGGTTAGTCGGATTATCCCCATGGATACTCGCTCACGTAAATTGGTTTGAAACACCCCAGATGCACCGGGTGCCTCCGAATGTTGTTTTACTCCCATTTCCCCGTGCGACCGTCGGTTGATTTTTATCCCAACCGTCATCTCCCTGGGTATGTCTGCTGGATCTCTTTCTTGTTTGTGTTGATTTGTCTTTTGCATGTTCAGACCTGTTACTCTTTTTTGAGTTGATGGTTGTCTCTGTGTGACTGCTTACCTGTGAGGTAATTGGTTGGGGTGGGATTCCTCCTTTTGAGGGCTTCTGCATCTGTAGGTTTTTTTTAGTCTTTCTGTTTTTCTGAGTCTTGTTTGGTTCTCTAAGCTCTGTCTGTCTATGGGTAACCTAAGGGGTCTATCCCTGATTGGCTAAGGCACATGGTGTTATGGGTAGAGGATACTCTGCTAGCCACTCTAGTGGCCTCAGAACTATGTGATCTTATAATACGTCCGATGCCTGAATCTTTCTAGGGTTTCCACTTGAGTTTGCCTGTGTTACTCATCCATAGATTTCTGTTTAGGTGCCATGGCTACTAATCAACATGGAATGTTTCCTTTTAATGGGAAAACTGATTTTGATATCTGGGAACAAAAGATTAAATGTGTTTTAATTCAACAAAAGGTTTTCAGAGTTGTCACTAACAAATTTTTGGAAACAGAAAATGAAACTAAACAACTTGAAATGAATAAAACTGATTGTTACACAATTTATTTGAATCTTTCTGACTCTATGTTAAGGAAAGCTGGTATACTTGAGCTGTCAAAGAGTTGTGGGAAAAATTTGATAGTCAGTATACTGATACTTCCTTACCTGGTAAACTATGTTTACTTGATAAATTTTTCCGGTTCAGGCTTGACCTTACCAATGATATAGATGGAAATTTGGATATTTTAACAAACTCATTCAAAATATTAAACAGAACGGTGACAAGCACAATGATGACTATACCCCAATTATTTTGCTTAATGCCATCCCTGATTCATACAGTGATGTCAAATATGCCATCAAGTATGGTAGAGATGAGGTCGCCTTTGGATATTGTGGTTAATGGTTTAATAAGTTAGTGAGCTATTCCGACAGTAGGAAATATGCTGGTGTTGGTCTATATATGCCTATGAAACGTATATTGACGCTCAAATTTCCGTCGAAATGTAAACTTCCATTGGTATAGCTAAAGGATGCCTACACCAGTGGTTTACATGTCTATACCAACGCCTTTTTTACCGTTGGTATATGACAGTTTGTTTGCAGTGATCACCTTCTCATTGTCATCTTGTAAGTACATGTCGGTCGAATCGAGTTAGGGACAATCATTATTTAATGAATTTTAGTATTTACGAATATGCAAGGTTAGTGATTAGGTCTGATATGCTCTGTTTATATTGGTTACATGGTTTGTCAAATGTTTGATCTCTATATATTACAACTATGAAGCCTGATGTGATCTTTTTAAGTTTGATTTGGTCTATTCAAATTTTGATTTAGAATAGAATTCCGACTAAGTCAAAAACACCCTAAGAACTGAAAATACAAAACAAATTATCCTAAATAGGACGAGAATAAGTAAAATTTTTAAATAACAATTTATGTTACTTAAACCTATGATACTATCTTCTCGGGTTCTGGCACCATATTTATCTCATCATTCCTAGACTTCGCTCTATTGTTGCTTTGGTGGTGAACTGATCTTCGACTTAGATGACTGCACTGTGACTCCGGCTGTGTGCCTCAGGTCTTTTTTTTTCAACCTCCTTGTCCTCATACTCCCCCATATTCTTCTCTTGAACCTTTTGCTATTGTCTATTGTTTTATTTATTTAACTTTGTCAACCATTGAAGTAACAATTTGTTAAAAAACTATGTCTTATTTTATAATTTGTTCTTTCTTTTGTTGCTATTTATTTAGGTGTAAAAGGTTACGTTGTGTTGCTAGTTGTGGCAAGGCTTGTGTCAATTCTATGAATGTTTATGTTTTCAGAGGCATGAGAACTTATATGGTCAAAAACAGCTTCATCAAACCAGTTTGATTAGCGATTCGTGTACCATTAGGGATTTAGGGGTAACCATTTTTTAAGTCTTCCGGTATCACATGTTGGCCAAGCCAAGACCTTGATTCAGTACCTCAGAGAAGACAAAACTCAGCGTTCGACCAATGACTTTAGCGGTCGCCATTAATGTGTATTAATACATGACATACCAATATTTATGGTTGCGTTTAATTCATAATAATATTACATTATTATGCAATCATTAGCCCCTTAAATTGTAATAATTAATGTACTAATGTTTGAATATTCTCCATATTAGTGTGCCTACCCCTTTAACTTATATAAGCCTTTATTTGGAGGGCTACTTCCCCATGAGTGAACATTGTGGAATCACACAAATGTATAAATAAAAAGAAATTATTTTTCAATATCTTACTATTTTTAACTGTCATATACTTCTATACTCTAGTTAATTCAAAATTTTTATGTTGGGTTAACCCTAACCTAAAAATTCAATAATGACGTCGCTGTGGGAACCAAAAACAAAAGTGAAACCGCTCAGTCGAGAGCACTAGTAAACCGACACCCTTATTCGATCTCTCAATGTTGAGAACATAGAATCCTCGGGAGAAAAACACCAGCTAAGAAGCATGTTGAGAAGGGAGCCCATAAAAACACCGAGAAAACACACACCTACGAAACACCGAGAAAACACACACCTACGAGGAATGCGCCACACCATGGTGAAAGGTCCCAAGAGAGCTTCAAACCAAAATTATTAGTGCACACTGCGCAAATGAGTAATGTAGAAGATAGGAGACCTGTATCCTAGTTTGGGACTCCGAGAGACGAATGCATCATGGTGGAAGGTGAAGAGCCCACACGCTATATGCATGGAGCGCAATGACAAATCTGCAAGAAGTTGTGGGAAGTGGGCGCAATGACATGACCCACTCTCGTCGATCACCCCAAAGAGGTGCTGAGCGGTTGGAGCGTCGCATACGTCTCAGAGCATAGGGACTCAGGGGAGGATCTACATATAGGCTATAGTGGGATGAAGCTCAGAACAACTTTTTTTTCATTTTTTTTAGTGATTTTTTTTTTTCATTTTTGATACTTAGCTCACCCCTCTAATGTTTATGTCTAGTATAATTACTCTTCAATCCAGTCCAGTTCAGATTCCTGGATCCGCCCCTGTAGAGACTGGAAGTAGTGCAACCACGCGATGGGAGATCAATTACACCAAGCGCTCATCATCTTGATGCAAGGCCTCTCCCATAAGAGAGAACATTGTGCGTTACTCGAAAGTTAAGAATGGAGGTGTGGAGTCGCATGCTATTTCTTGGTATGAGGATACCAAATCCCCCGAAGAATGGACTCACCAGTTAGGAAAGGGGATGATTCAGGAAATGAAAAGTTATGAAATTAGGAAAGGGGTTTCTCTTGGACATGCGATGCGAGAGGGCAATTATACGACCCATTATATTTCGATTACTCCTTCGGCCCATTTTCAAATTTATAGCAGGATTAATGATCTTCCGGGTAAGGCCCGTCAAGCTTATTTTTTCTCTTTTATGTGTGTATTTTTAGAGGGAATGCCCTCTAGAAGAGGTTTTGGTCTGGTCCCCCTTTTCGTTCTGTTCTCTTTTGCTTATTAATAAAATCTGGCAAATGTTCCCCGGCATTTGCCCCATTGATTTTGGTGGTTTGCCTTCCGGGTTAAAAAAAGAAATCACCGGTTAAACATGCCAAGTGAGTGCAATATTTCCAATTTAAATAACTTATTGAATTACATACATTGGTCGATGGAAAGAAGAAAGAGGAGGCACTCGGGAAGGTAGTGTCACCCTTTACGGGGAGGATCATGAAGGCCGAGGCACCGCATGCATGACTTCAAATCCCCACACACTGTATACAAGGGAGATACAAACCCGAGGGAGCATATTGCAGGTTCCAGGCTATGGAGACGAGCTCATGTGTCGGGCCTTCCTCCTATCCCTGGTGGGTCCAGCCCAGGAGTGGTTCCTCACGCTAGACACAAGTACATATACACAAGGCATTCATTCATCTTATTAACTCAAAAAATTGCTCAAAGTATTTAGGAATGCAAGAAGGTGTCCGTATGCACTCTCTTGAGGCTTCAGGCGAATCTTATCATAGGACATAACTCAACAAATAGACTACTGGGCCTAGCGTTCGGAGCAATAAGTCAAAGAATTGCTTAAAATATTTGGGAATGCATGAAGGCACAAGTCCACAATCTCGTGAGATTTTGGACAAAGGGTAATATAGAAGCAACTCACGTATTAGATCGAACAAAGCGTCTGACATATTATATACGTAGAATATTTGCTTAAAGTATATATTTCTGGAATGCAAGAAGGCATTCGTTCTCACTCTTGAGAGTTGAGATTTTAGACAAAACGTAATCGTAGAATTAATCAGAAAAATGGACAGAACCCAGCGTTCATCCAACGTGGCAAGTAAAAACACCCTCTGGGAGTAGGAAGACACATTGCTGCACTTTCTTGAGACTTCGAAAAATGCGAACTCCAAAAGTATCTCAATAAATAAATCGAACCTAGCGTTTGACCAACAAAAAAGTGGAAGGCTGCTAGCTAGCACCCGGCGGAAAGCTAGCACTAGACAGAAAGTGTGAAGACATAGAAGGCGAGGGATAACACCAAGAGCTAGGAGATGGATGCACGAAGATGTCAACATACTCCCTTGTTCCATTTTGCATAAAAAGAAAACCCATAGGTCAACATAAAGTAAAGCAGGATGAGGGAACACACGAGGCTAGTTCCCCAAGAGAGTTTATCTTTGACAAACAACAATTCGTCCAAAACTCTACTCCTCAAATCCTACCATGATGGTCCAGTCAGTAGCAAATGGGAGTAACTCAGGAGTCAGGAATACTCCCTCTCACATCGAAGGGTCCACCTCAGGGAGTGGCCGAGGGCTCATGATGGAATATATTGTCATATACCCTAGGGACCTAGATCAGAAGGTCTATAACAATTAATGAGCAAAGTTATATATCAGCTAGGCCGAGGCCCTGAGCGGAGGGCGACCCCGAACCCTCATCAGCAGCCCGTCCACACTAGACCGAGCCTAATGACAATCACCATAGATATCTCGCTGACGATACTGGAAGAGGCTGGGGGCTGATCCACCTCAGTCCAGTGAAAGCTCAACATTTAGTCGTTACCCAGACATTCTAGCAAGACACATATTCAAGGTTTACATCACTCAGACTCCCGCTAATGTGGCATGCCTAATTTCTAGGAAGGGTTACGTCATATATAACACATCAACATGATGTCATCACTATGCATGTTCCTTAATTTTTTTGGGACACATGTATCTTTCTGACTAGTCTTAACCTCTTTGGGCTAAAAGCTCAAACCTAGTTGTCTTCACTCTTAGGAAAAAGGATATGAAATTTAGGCGCCATTATTTTGCCAAAATATTAGTACAACTTTCTCTCTCTACTTTTGCTCTAACTTTTCTCTAGAATACTACTATCACCGGGTTCCTATATAGTATATACCCATTGGTGTTATAATTATTCATGCACAAAACCTTATCTCTGAACAAAGTTAGTTGCCGAATAAAAGAAAAAATGATTAGTATTTTAGTATAATATATAGATCCCGACAAGTGATTAAGATAATTGATTTCCAAATTGTTAACCGTCTTCGTAGAGGGGTTTTTACGCATGATTAATCTTAACACATAAGAGTTTGATGAATTTTTTTAAATAATATGAGGCTAATGGGCATAATTTATACTTTAACCCGTCCCTTATAACTTTTCCAATTCAAGTTTCACCGACAAGGAGAATAAATAGTACTCCCTCCGTCCCTAAATAAACTTCCAACTTTCCTTTTTCATCCGTCCCAATTAAAACTTCCACTTTCCCTTTTTGGCAAAGAATTTGTGGTTCACAGCAATTCTTACATATTTCTCTCTCCTCTGCACAACTCTCCACCACACAATACCCACTATCTTAAACTGTGTGTCAAACCTATTTGGAAGTTTTATTAGGGACGGAGGGAGTAAAAGTTATGTGATTAAAATTTGTCCATAAGAGAGAAATATAGGAATAATTAAAAGGAAAGTGAAAAAGTTATAAGAGACTAACAAAGTATATTACCTGGGCAGTTTGGTGCAATAAACCCCATTGCATTATATACGGAGTATATGATAATATGAATACCAAAGCACTATCGAATTGAAGGAATGAGTAAAAAGCAGTCTAGCTAGATAGCCATCAAACTAAGTAATTACTACGTACTATACATGGCAAATTAAATAAGAGAAAGTAGATATATGAATTAAAGTATACTTGTGGGTGAAGAAAGAATATGTTGTATTTTTGGTCATATAAATAAATCCATTTTTGGTCACATTAAGCTAAGATAAAGTATACTTGTGGGTGAAGAAAGAATATGTTGTATTTTTGGTCATATAAATAAATCAATTTTTTGGTCACATTAATTAGCTAAGATCAAAACAAACAATAATACTGCCAAAAAATATATCCGGAATCAAATAAGTCCAATAATTGAATAGAAGGAAATGGCGGGTGAGAACCAGGGAAGGCTACCTCCACCACCTTACAAGTATGAAGATTTGACTCTGGAATGGAGAGTGGATATAGGGCCTAAATATGATACTCTCATCCTTCATTTACCAGATGGTCAGTTTAATTATTATTCCTTTTTATAAACTAGCATGAGGTTAATTACTTTATGTGCTACATGAATAATTGTCCACCTAACAAATATTTGTCGATAATAATATACTTCATTCGTTCCTAAAACAATTCTCAGTATAATGAGGTAAGGGTTAGATTTGTACTCGAACTTGCATAAAAAGGATCAAATAAGTCCTTATATAGGAGGTTCTGTCTGGACGTCGTCATTTGGGGCGGTTTCCGGTGGAATTTTTTGACGATTTTTTTTGAACATCTCATTCATTAAGTCTAGTTTACTCATACCAAATTTCAGCTTAAAATTCAACCGAGAAGGCATTCAAATGAATTCTTGAAGATAACTGCGCAGTTAAAAGCACAATTATCTTCAAGAATTCATTTGAGTGCCTTCCCGATTGAAGTTTCAGCTGAAATTTGGTATGAGTAAACTAGACTTAATGAATAAGATGTTCAAATAATCAAAAAATTCCACCGGGAACTGCCTCAAATGACGACGGCCGGACAGTAAGGACTTATTTGACTCTTTTTATGCAAGTTCGAGTACCAATCTGACACTTACTTCTCAGTATAACTGTATAAGTACATGCATTTGAAGAAAATATGAGTTTTTCTTTGACCTCCTGTATTACATTTTTTAGAGAGGGTAAATGTTAAGCTGGTAGATAGGTCAGTAAGTGTTACAACGTATAGTAATTATTACTAAGAGATACAGAGTAGTAGAGTAATTGGTAAAATTTTCTTTTATAAATAAGGAAATAAGATTTTATTTAGTGACACTGACATCTCAAAAAAAAATTAAAGATCGTAACATGAATTTTTTTAAGGGAAGGATATACAGGACCTAGAGGCCCTAGGCAAAAAAACACTTGATCTTAGGAAATCATATTAATAACATTTATTTATAACATGAAGTTGGAAAACTTGAGATAAATTGAATGCAAACATTTCATACAAGAAACAAAGTATATAACATATTCAAAATAAACAATAGAGTGTGAACGTCAAATTAATTTAAAAGCATTTCAAATACTCTGTATATATATCTATAAAAATGAACCAAAAATTATATTAGCACCTTTAATATTCTCAATATACGTACTATCGTTCTCTATGTTCACATAGAGTCAAAATATATGTTTACCTATCATGAAAATGCCTACAAAGATTAACTAAGAGAAAAATCACAAACAATTCAGTTAATAAAAAACAAAAATTAAAAAGTACATTATAAATTAATAGTGATAAATTATAATAAGGAGCGTAAAATAAAATTATTATTAGTTTGAGTATTGTTATTATTGTAGTATTAATTAATATAGGTGGTTTCTATTAAAAACCACAATTCAAATATTCAACTGATATTTAGACAATATAATTCATAACTCAAACCAGTCCATAAAGATGAGGCTATAAGGTCGTAATTTAATCTATCTACAAAGAGATACCTAAAATCCTAAATGAATGGATGATTAGACAAAGAGTGAAATTGCAAAATTGACCACAAATTCGGTGGAAGTTTAGGAATCAGGATTCGTATTCTGCTACCTATTTCCAATTGGAATTGCTAAATTTTAAAATTAAATATTCCTACGGTGTATTACTAATTAATATTCTTATTCCTGATTTTTGAGGCCCTTCCCCAATGAGAGGCCCTAGGCAAATGTCTAGGTTAACTGACCCCAAAGCCGGCTTTGAGGATATATATAGTGTTTAATACATCGATCCCATCTTTTAATCCGAAAATGGATCAAATAAAATTATCTTCTAATTTACAAACTATAAACCCATCTTGGCCATCTGATAACTTGATCTAAAAGACATAGATGCACACTTGTATTTTGGTAATAAAGTCCATTTTTTTTTCGAATGAACGTTAATATACAATAATCACTGTTTGTACCTGATCTGCCATCCTTTTAAACCTTTTCCAATTTTTTGTAACACACGAAATAATTATGAAGTAAAAATGTTGTGGATGCGATTTAATTACATGGAGAAAACAAGCATAAGACAAATTAGTCATTTGAAACAAAAAGTGTACAATTCACAGGTTTCACAAGGGACCATGTGAGTATAGGCGTTTCAACCAAGGGAGGTTCTCAAGAAGAAGAAGAAAAGTTTATCAACATCAGCGGGCATAAGCTGGATGAAGGCAGCAACAACAAACGGTTGCGATTTTATAAACAATTCAAGGTTTCAACCAAGTGCGACGTGAAAAGAATGTATATGAGATTCGAAAATGACAAAGATTTATTTATATGGCAATTCAAACCCCTATTTGAAGCTACAGATTCCCATACGGCGGCGACAATGGAGCAAGCATTTACGGTGGTGGATGACGTAGATCCGGCCGCCGCTCTCACTTACATTGACCAGTACAACCGTATGTCCTTTAAGAAAGGAGTCGACGGAGACAAAACCCACCCAGAAGCTGACACTCTTACCCTTCACTTTCCTCCTGGTAGGTTCATACCAAATGTAAAATTGAATGTGTTTATTTGTGGTGTGGTGCATTTTCAAATAGGGGAATGCAATTCATTTTTCCACAAAGTAGAAACATGTCTTTTTACTTTGAATGTTTCCCTCTGAACGCTTTAAAAAGAAGGCGGCATGGATGTATAAAAAAGCGACATGTCACTTTCTTATAAAATAATGAACATATATATATATATATATATTCCCCTATTGAAAATGCACATTACCATAAGTACTTTTTTGTACTTATTCCCTTAACCTACGACGAATTAGAAAAATAATTATACCAAGTATTCGAAATACACCTTAGCTTAGTTATAAAAAGTTATTTGATAAAAAGTTATGTTCAACAAATCCTAAAACTAACTCCTCATTTACTAATTTGATTATAATAACATCGGTCATACCATTATCTTTTTGTACAGTAACTGTAAAATGTCACTGATCTTTTGAGTTGAGCTATTAATTATTTATTCATAGAACACCCCGTTAGAATTTTTTGTCGTAGAAAAAACTTTTCATTTCACACCCCAAATTCTATATATAGTAAGAGGTCCAAATTACCATTCACTCAACATAATGAAAAAGCATATTTAGTTTTTTTTATGGAAATATATTTTAAATATAACAATCTCATATATAATTCAAGATTTCAGCAATTTTTCTAGCTTCAACCCATTAAGATAATGTTGGCATTAACAATATAAGGAATAATAATATAGTGCTCCGGTCCTATTTTGGAATTTTAGAACATTTTTACTCCTCTAAACATCAACTTCTTAACCCACAAATCCTCAAAAGTTTTCATCTTTACTTATTTTGGTTTTTATAAAATTAGTCATGAAATGTTGTTTTGTATTCCTGCACGAAATTGGCCAACAAATTCGATACTAACTACTGTAAATGAATAATATTATTAATCTTTTTACCACAATATAATTGCAAAGTTTACTAGACCTTGTGAATTATTGATAATTTTTTTAATCTTTACCTAAAGTGTACTATACCCAAATAATCACCATGGTATCTTCACAAAACATGAGTCATTATTCACTCTTAATTGGACCCGTTCCCTTACATAAAGTGATAAAACACCGCATTTTGTAATCCTTTTTTTACTTATCAACAAATGAAAAACTTCTCATTTCACACATTAATTTCTAATATAATCATAATAAGCGAGTCCAATGTTAAGCTAAGCTTGTGACTGAATCTACTAAAAAGTTTTTCCTTAACAATATTTCATCGTTTTATTAATAAAATATGTTATATACACTACCCTCTCCGTCCCTCTTATATTGTCTCGTTTTACCTTTTCGGAAAATCCTACTAAAATTGTCTCATACCATATTTGGTAAAGTTTGTGTGACTTTAAATCATCTTACTTTATTAATTAATACGAAGTACTACGTATCAATTACACAATTCCACTTTTCTTAATAGTCGTGTCACTCTCTTCCGTCCCAATATAAAATGAACGGAGGTAGTACTAGGGAGTATATATATAATTTCGTAATTCAGGATTTCAACAATTCTTATGTAGATTTAATCCATTAAGACAACTTTGGTATGTATTACCAAAAGAGCTTAATTTTAACCTAATTATACTGCAGGTTTCCAAGAGGATCAAGTTAGAATCGAGTCAAACACATCTTCTCCATATATCTTGATGACCGCACATAAACAGCGGCGAGGCGAGAGGATATATCATTTAAATGAAGTTTATACTCCGCCGTCAAAATTAAAGGGGTGGGTTCGGTTGTACTCATACTTGACGGGTGCTTTTTTTGATGCGTATGATATGAACCGGACTGAGATAAAAATTGAAAAAGGTGCGGCCATTGTTACACTACACAAACCCATCATCCCAACCAATGGCTCTGCACAGACAAGCAAAATGAAGGACGAAGATGATAATGATCACAAGAAGAATGTAATGGCGGAAAATTTGGATGACGGGCCGAAACGCGTTGTTGAAAAAATCGAAATAATGGACGATTATGAAGGCGACGCGGCGGTGGAAACAGCGGCTACCCCAGAACCTCATAAAGAAGAGCCAAGAACGATGAGGATGACGATCATGATTATCCTTTTCGCAGTTGGTGTAGCCATGTTGTTTGTTAATAAAAAAACATTTTACTACCTAATAATTAATAATATTGTGTGAGTTTTTACTCACTTAAACCCAACCCTATATATATATCCTATATGTATGTATCCTAGCTTCAAGCAATATTGTGTGTGTATGTTTTAAGTAATGTGATATAAGTCCATTGTCCCTTATACGGAGTATGTTATTCCCAAAGTTCTCAATAATGGATTCAAGAATTCCTTTTAGTTTATATAGAGAGTTGTATGTATGTTCTTGGGATGGGCACGGTTTGTGACGGTCCATGCTATTATCGCGCAACTAATAATGGACCGTGTAGTTTAAAACAGTACGGTATTAGTATGAGATATACTACAAAACTATTCGGTACCGTTCCATTTTGGAACGGAATTTTGACACGGCTGCAAACCATGCCAAATTTGGCACGGTTCTGGCCGAATTAGATGAGGTTGATGGCGGCCATTAGAGTCTAGAACAGCCGGGCTGGGCCAAAATTTGTCTCATCACTAATAAAAATAAATATTAGCAATAATAATAATATAGTAGTGATATTTGTTATACTTACAATGAAAATTGTTGGGTTAATGGCCCGACCATGGGTCGGTCCATTACCCCCTTGCAAGAAGAACCTCAAAGGCCCGATAACAAAGGAGCGCCAGACGCTCGTCTCCGGGCTCCAAATCCCACCCAGGGCAATTATCCACTACAGCCTAAGGCACCACCAACGTCCGTCTCATAGGAAGACGCTCGGCCTCAGGGACCTTGGCCATCAAGGCTACCCAGTGCCCCAACTCTGGTGGTTCCCTTAGAGAGCTTCATCATCGGGTGAATAATATTGATCTCCACCTGCCCTTTAAAGTGATCATCATATTCCATACCCCGCTGGAGGTGCGTGATGTATGGGCTTGCAAAGAGAGCCTTGATATGGTTCGTGGACTGACGGTGGAAAAGGCCGATGATGAAGGCTCCCAAGCGTGGCTTCCAGTCGTGCTCCATATAGTAGAAACATAGATCAGTGGTAGAAACATTTTCCATGGCCACCGACCTCTTGGCACCCGAACACGGTGGAGATGAGAAGGGCTTGAATGACTCGGAAATGGGCTGGGTGGAGTAATGTGTTAGCGGAAGTCTGTGGTACATTGGTGGTGCCGCCAATAGATATGGAATTCTAGAATGCTTGCCTATCCATACTAGGTGGAAGATCAGTGAAGGCAACTATGATGTCGCGGTACTCGTCAGGCCTCTAAGTTTTCGAAGCCTAGATTTGTAGTTTAAGGGAATCAACCAAGTATATTTGGTGTAGTAGTCCATAAACATAACATAATAACGAGTGTTAACTATTGAAACTGGTAATGGACCCCATACATCAGAATAAATAAACTCCAATGCATGAGTACATTTTATTGACGAAGTAGAGAAAGGAAGTTTGTGACTTTTGGCTTGAAGGTATGCATCACATGGTGGAATTTTTGTGTGACTAAGTTTTATTAAATGTTGTATGGAAGAAGATGGATGACCAAGGTGTTGATGCTAGAGTTGAGATGTTGCGTTGAGAGCCTTGGGAGAGGATAACCATGTGTAAAGATTATTATTACCTTAGTTGTTAGGTCATTCACAACAACAAAAATGGGTGAGAATGTGAAAGAAAAATTATTTTGGAGACAAAATTGTTTGACTGAGATAAGGTTGTGTTGAATATGAGGGGCTCAGAGAACATTATAGAGTGTAAATTTTGAACAGGGAGAAGAAACATAGAATTTACCAATATGAGATATTGGTATTTGCTTACCGTCTCCCATAGCCACTGATATGCGTCACACTAACGTGTTTTATACAATCGTTTATAAACACTTTTATACTTAAAAGAGTTAAAATCCTCACACATATGCCTCGTTTTGCTAGAAGTACTTTAATCGATAATGGGATCAAAACAAGGATGATAGACTACGCACGAAAAAACCCGACAAGAAAAGGTCAACCAAATACATCCCGATGAACAAAAGAAGTGAAGAATAATGCATGGAAAAGAAGAAATGTGCCCGGTTTACGCAAATACCGATCGACTTTTGGGTATCCACATCAACATCCGCGTCCAAAACTGATGAACAACCACCTGGGTACAAGGAAGCACGAAAGCTGACCGGCTACCGTGAAAGGCGCCCAACAATTGGCGCCGTAGCATTTAATCCGGAATTCCAATACAAAAGCCGCCCGGCTTTTACCAAAAAGCGGGCGACGTTCGACCCTGAAGCGAAGAATCAATTATTTAAACGCGTAAAAGCCGCCCGGCTTTTGCGAAAGTCGCCCGGCTTTTGTCTGAAGTTGATTAAAAGAGCAACAGTTATCACAATCATTCGGGAAAAACTCCAAACCTCATTAAGGAGCTTGCTTCCTTGTCTAAAAATGGCCGTTAAAGACCTAATATTTAAGCATGTTGAAGTCCTCTCAACACATTAATCCATATTCTACACATTTTACTTCCATTTTAGCATCCCAAGAGCAACCCCTTGGTCTTGGGAGAAGTTCTACACTTGGGGATTCCATTGTCCACCATAGCTTTGGAGTTGTGGTATTATTTTCTTATGTATTTCATTGTATTTCATCATTTCAATACTTGTAATTTCATTATGTTTTGTTCTAGCTAATATTCCATAGCCAAGGTTAGGGATGAAACTTTACGCACTCTAGGTGTTTGATGTATGTTCTCAACCAAATTATCATGATCTTTCCTTTATATTTTAATGTGTATGACTACGGTGTACAACGTATGATTATGTCTTTGGGTTTATTTGAGCAATTAACATTGAGTTATAAACCACACACTTAAGGGTTAGACATATTCTAATTGTGGATAGAAATATACCTCAATTGAATATGGTGGTTTTTATATTGTCCTAATCTTCAATGGGGTTAATTTTAGATGAATGTGAACCGTGACGGGATTCACACGTAGAATTAATCACAATCTCGCTGCCGTAACAGGAGTTAGAATACTTTAGCGACATTCCACTCATAAGAATTGGTGAAAGAATATTAACATTAATCGCTAGGAGTCGTTTAGGAGTAATCCTGAACCCTTGGTTGCTTTTATCATTACTTGAAAAACCAAAAAAATCTCTACTCTTTTACCAAGTCTTTCACAAAATTTATCCTCAATTTTTGAATCATATAAACAACGTTTCCTCGTGTTCGACTTGGTATTTTTCCCGGATTTTATTACTACATTGGCACTTGTACACTTGCAAGTTTTAGCCGATCAGCCATAGAATCATCACCATTATAATCGGAGTGAACATGCAGATTCTTGAGATCAGAGGGGAGATGATGTGTAGCCCCCTTGTATCAAGAAGTCAATTATTATTATTTGAACTGGCATCACCTCCTCCTTTGGCAAGGTTGGCAGTAGGAGCGTAAAAAGTTTTGCAGAGTGACCCTAGTGATCACATAATTGACAAGTAATAGACTCGCGAGTTGCGACAGTTGTGACCACCAAAGGAATTTTGACCAAATCCAAATTGATGACCACCGTTGTTTTGATGATATATAGTTTGGGGAGAGGTCACTTCCTCCCCGTCCACGAGATCCACTGTGTCGCTGAGTGAACTGTGTAATAATAGGGACACTAAATGCCAAAGATGATTCTCATGCTAAAGTTTCGGCTTCACGAAGAAAGTCTTAAGCTGTTCAAATGTTGGAGTAGGGATATATTATACGTATAGTATGGCGCCAAACAAGTCCTTAAATTCGCTTACAAGCCCGTGAAGAAGATATGATGCAACTTGATCAGTGCTTTGGGGGTGACCAATGGTGGCAAGGTCATGAATAAATGTTTTCATAACAACCAAATACTCGGTAACACGTTTTCCGGTTTTTATTTGTTGTCATCAAGGATGAGAGAAGGGACAACATCCGAGTAATGGAAGAACTAACAAAACTAGTTTAATTTCTAGTTTTGTCCAACCATCTGTAGAAGAGGAGCGAGAGTGGAGCAGGAGTTGATGATTGGGCTTATGGTGATTGCAATCGTTGATTGAAAGGCTAAAAGAATGACTCGATCTCTACGGGTCCAAACTTCATAGTTTGGATCGGTGTCAACCGGGCAAACCTTTTTCCCAATAAGATAGTCTAGCGGACCATAGCGAATAAAAGGTTACATTGGTGATTTGTGACTTCTAAGAGGAGTAATTACTTTCATCTTTGGATAGTTTGATAGGGATTTGAGGGAAGCATTGAGAGAGATAAGTTGAGTGAGGGTTTCATTAGTCAAGGGAACAACAATATTGGGGGAGGTCGAAGATGGCATTACTGAGGGTGATTAAGGATCAAAAAAAAAATAATCGGAGTAGTAGAGTAGATTGATGTTGTGATACTATAACGAATTAAGATTAAAACTGAATTGTATTAACAATTGTGCGGACTCGTAATATATACACACTAGTATCGTTACCCGTGCTGTCCACGGGAGCCGTGCACGGGATAAAATGATTTTTTTAGTTTTAATATATATTCCCTCCGTCCCATTTATATTGTCCCGTTTTACCTTTTCGGGAAGTCCCACTGAAATTGTCGCATACCATATTTGGCAAAATTTGTGTGGCTCTAAATCATATATTCTTACTTTATTCTTACGTTATCGATTAATATCAACCACACAAACCCACTTTTCTTAATAATTGTGTCACCCTCTTCCGGGACAATATAAATGGGACAGAGGTAGTAGTCTTGAATATGGATTATACGCATATTGACATATGTATATGGGTTAATATATAATAACTAATGGAAAATTGCGTATCTAGTCGATTATATCATCGGTAGATAACACATATTTTTATTTATTGAACGACTTATTTTTGAACTTATTATCTAAACATATCATCGGTAGTGTATGTCCATCAAAATGATAATGTAGGTATTGAATCCTTACTATACTGTGAATGAGAAAAAATATACTACGTAGTATTATGAAACAACATATAAACTCTTGCGTAGTAGCATGAATCATTGAAATCAGGAGATACAGTATTATAAAATTACGTGTGAATTTTGAATGAGAACATCATATTGTATGGGGAAAAGTACCAAATCAGCCCTTGAACTAACATCAAAAGTGCAAATCACCCCTTATATAGGAAGCTATGTTCGGACGTCGTCATTTGGGGCGGTTTC